ACAGTCATTCTACAGGAATTCAGTCAGCAGAATAGATGGCCCTTTTGTGAAGACACTTTAGGGCGCCAAGTTTTTTTTTTTTTTTCCCCCTTTTCTCTCTCTCCTGAAGTCAGTGTCTACAAAGTGGGCTCGATCAATGAATCATCTGTGAATTCTCTACATCTGGTAAGAGTTTGGAAATCTGGAGAAGATGTTAGAAAAAAAAAAAGCGTGACTTGGACAGAGAGTGAGAGGTACTGAGCAAATGAAGCAGCTTCTACCCAGAAAACAGGCAGTCCTTCGAGACGGGGGGGGGGGTCAGACTTTTGGGCCAAGCCCCACCAACCCCAACCTCATTGCTTTCTTATACTGTAGAAAGGAGCACAAGAGCTTCAATGTCTAGACAACCTCAAATTTATGTGCAATTATTATTATTATTATCAGGGGTAATTATTGCACTGCTAGTAACATAAACATCAGTAGGAGAAAAAAAAAAGACAAATGAATAACTATCTGCCTTTTTCTTCACTTTGAAGTTAAAAGCATAAGGTCATCTGTCTGCAGAGTAATACAACAATAGCCCACTAAAGAGACATACTGTGTTTGTTGTTCTTTCAGATTAATTGTGGACACTCATTTCCCTGTACTCACAATGAACTAGTCTGGCGCCATTTCTAACAAATTACATTGTTATCACACTAGAATCCAGCGTCTAACGCAGGAGCATTGCCCTGTGTGCATATGGGCTAAGTTTGCACATACATATATGCAGTGTGAACAGCATGAGTGCTTCTCATCTGGAGTGTCCAAGCTCATTGGGCCTGGCCACGGGTTCACGCGGCGCCTCAGGCTAGTGCAGACTCTTTTCCCAACCTTGTCGCTGTTTGTTTGGAGTGCACCGCTCCATCTCCTGCTTCAGCCGAAAACCAGCAGCGCAGAGAACGGCGCGGCACATGGCCCCAAGATGTGGACCGCCTTCCCGCCTTGGAAAAAACTTCAGAAACTGAGTCACGCTCCGAGCCTGACTGATTTCAAAGGCTGGAGCAGCTTCTTTGTTGAGTTGTGTGTGTGGGGGCGGTGGGAATCTGTAATGCAAATGGTAAAATATGCTGACCCCATCAGCGCTGCATTTCTCTGATCTTGCACCTAAGTCCTTATCGCCCTCACACGAGCTTCCATTTACTGGCTTTTCTTTACTCAGATTTTAATGAATCAGAGTTATCATTGTTATAGCAAGTCTTGTTGGCCGGCGCATGCTTTTAACCTTGTCAAAGTTGATAAGATATTGGCTCCCTTTCTCCTTCCTGGTATGACTTCTGTGTGAAATAGTGGCCCGGAGCTGGTGTTAGTTTTGTGTACACTCTCACTGCAGTTGCTGGGCAATAAACTGGCCTTTAATGACAGGAAGAGCAGTGTGTATGTGTGTGTATATGTGCGCCTGGCTCCCTGACACACAGGTTATTATTTGACCAGTTTTATGATGCTCTGAAATCGACCACATTAAAGGGCCTTTGTCTCACAGCTGGACTGCAGAAGGCTCATCACTGACATCACTTCACACTTTGGGCGAGCAAAGTTCACACTGCATTTGTCTGTGATAGAAATGGGAAAGATAATGATGATGTATCTCTGTATGTGTAAGTCTCCGCTAGCTCCTTCGCTTCCCACATCTCCACTCTCCCACACACAGACTATGCGCTGACTTACAAGCATAGTGTCATATGCTATGACATCACTCCAGTACTCCCAGCTTTCCTCTACTCCCACAGCACCCTTAACACAGCTATTTTTTAAAGCCTTTTAATGAGTTTTATATGTCAAATCAGCTGCATGGTCCAGCAATGACGGTCTACTGCCGGCGCTGAGCCCTACTTTTCTTCCTTTGACAGTTGCTTGGTCAGACTGGCCTTTTAGGAGTTTATCACTTTGTCTTTTGATGAGCTCCTCTCCAGTTTGGCAAACAAGTGTGCAGATTTCTCGTGTAACCGTGCAGTTTTTGGCTAACTCAGGATGATGTCAGTTGACTTATGTGATAAACAGGGCTGCAACTAATAACAGTTTTCCATATAATATAGCAGTTGTTTTAGTTTAGCTGATTTTTTGATTCGATTTTATACTTGGGTGATGGCTTAGTCAGAACTTATCTTTGCTTTTGATTAAGTGATTAAACAGGAGATTATTTTTTACTGTTTAATGTGTGGTTTAGTCGTTTTCCTCGTGATTTATCCCAGTATTTCAGTGTTTTTTTGGTAGTGTGTGGGGAGGCATTGGACTGAGGCAGCTTGGTGGGGTTAGAAGGTGGGAGTGTAACTGTGCCTCTTTATCCCAGATGAGCCCTCGGTCCAGCTGCCCTCTTGTTTCATGTCTCTCCAGTTCTGCTGACAGAAAGCAGGTTGTGCTGACCTTTGCGCTCACTGATGGCCTGCTGTTTTCCAGAACACAGATGAAGCTACAGTGTAGACTAGATGATGACTATTAATTGTGGCCTGTTTTCTATATTTGATTGTTCACCTGGCCTGCAGTACGCCAGTCAGAACAGCTTGAATTCAGTGGGAAAATTTGTATTTGGCTTAACATGCAGCTTTATTATCCCATAGTTTCTTTGGTTAAGTACCTGGCTGAGAGTGCTTTTGATTTTGATCCCGCTGACTAATGTCAAACAGTCCTGCCCATTCTAAACTATTTGTACCATACAATGGAATGCAGCCTTTTGAAGCATTCAAATGTTTTGAAAACTAAATTACTTAGTAGTGTTTGCCATCTCAAATATACTTCCTTTTCCAGCTGGTTGAATTATATGACAGAAGCTTATGGAAGGATAACCCCAGTTTAACATTTGATAGTATAGCTGTATAGCTCCTATTCTTATGAGCATGTTTGTTTCTGTTGGCATCTGCATATCTCTCCTTATGTAGCAGTGAAAAACTCAGATGACTTCTATGCTTCTGATCTCGACAAAGCACATTCTTCCAGAAACGGTATGAGTCTAAGGTCACTTTGTGGAAAGCATTAACCATGCTTAGCGCTGGAGTCACATCCCCCTCCACCCACCCACTCCTTTTCTCCCCTCACAAAAGGGAGGGAGGGGGAAGGAGTTAGAGAGGGAGGGAAAACGGCCTTATCACCATCACCTTCTACAGTAGGTGTTAAAACACTGTGAAACTTATCTCATCTGATAGGCAAGAAAATAAATCTGTCTGGATGAAGTGGAGAGAAAAAGACTCCGTTGTGTAAACACCATAGGTGACTTAAGGAAAAGGAACATGCGTGCTCACGTACACATACAAAGGACCAGTTTTGTTTGTTGCTGTGGCCTTTAGCACCAGTACGGCAGGTTTGGCTTTCAAATGCAACTTGTTCCTTTTTTTTATTAGTCGTCCCTTTGTTTTGTTTTGCCCTTTTCTTTATTTTAAGCGCATAGCCAATTTCCTCCACCTTTTAAATGCTAACAAAGCTCTTTGGTGGTGAGGTTCCTAAATACATTTTTATTATCTTGTAATGCAAGACTGACAAGTAAAATTCCTTAACTTGTTTTGTGCCAAGAGCAGGTTGATAAAAACTGATTGCTCTTCCAGATGACGGCACTTTCTCAAGTTCATCCTGTCTATGATGTGTGTGTCTGTGTGTGTCTGTGTGTCTGTGTGTGTGTGTGTTGGTTAATTATACATACCTCCAGGCAGAGGTAGCCAATGGGAATGCTGTTTGACTTTTTTCTTTTTTCACCATAACAAGGTAATTGCCTCCTGTTGCAGGGGACAACAATTTAGCGATCCAGGCCACAATGGGAGGTGCCCTAGTAAACGATCATGACAGAGACATGCGTGCCCACCTCCTTGTCAAGCCTCTGCCTGGAGGGTAGAAACATGCTCTGCTATTATCTCGTCACACATACAAACGGAGAGAGTTGGGGAAGGAGACTGTCATTATCTGCAATTGAGCACAGGAGACAAGAAAGGGAAATCTGTCAAGTGAGATGGCAATTGAGATTGATAGGCATGAATTGTAAAAATGTGCAGTGTAAAAATAATGGTCTTTTCCTGTGGAATAAACCCAGCCTCTACGCATTAGACTTCTTTTAAAAATATGTATGGCATGAAGTAACAGCCTCTGCCACACAGCTTAGCTGCCAAACTCCCCCTTGTTCCCTCCCTGCAGCGGTCTTTTAAGGCCACGGTGGGACAAGAGAATGAGGAATGTGTTACATCAGGTAAAAGTGTCCCCAGTCTCTGGGAACAAGTAGCCATCTCTCGGCAGGCCTGTGAAACATTCCTGGGCCGTCTCTCACGTCTGGACAGAGGGATGGAGGGGCGGGAGGCAGGCGGCTCGGAGCTGTGGGCTCCCTTTGTCTCGCCTAGCCTAACCCCACCACACAAACACAAACACCGCTCTCAGTGCAGCCTCCTGTCTGCCAACAGGCAGGCTGCATGCCAGCTAGGCAGGAGGTGTGTGTGTGTGTGTGCGACAGAGATAGCATTTGTTTATGTGTGAAATCAACTCAATTCATGTGGTGTGGGAATCTCAATCTGAAATGCAGATGTGTGTTAGATTCACCCACCATACCCCCACCCTTTCCCCTCGCTCTCCGACAGCGGTATCACTATATCACTGGACAAATCACTCTCTAATAAGTCTCTGTACAAGTCAAGTGCCAGCTATTAAATACACTGTTAGCCTAAAGTGCAAATTGACTGCTGCAGATGAATGGCCTGTGGGCTATGTTTGGAAAGTGAGCCAGGAGAGAGACACTCCATCGATAGTATTGATCTGGTCCTCCTTGAAGGCTGCCTGAATTTATGTACTGCAGTGTTTTCAGGCATACTTAATGTGGACGGATGAGGCTGTTTGTCAAATGGGAGATATAATTGTTGCTATTGATCAGGATCCTTATTTAAACTACGGAAAATGGCAATGAAGAATACAATAAAAGTTATGAAAAATATTGTAGCACTGCTGATATTTAGATCAATTGTTGTCTCCTGCCTGAGGATTTAACTACCCTTTATCTTCTTCTCTATTTTCAGAAATCTTGGCCACAACAAGCTGACTGCCATCAATGTTGAAGCCTTTGCCAACCTTCCCAACTTGAGAGAGCTGTAAGTAGTCACCAACAGAATACTTACACTTAGACATGATTTCCACTGAGGTAGTCGACAGCAGCCCCCTAAATACTTTCTTCTGAACTGTTCCAAGTGTGGCTCTGTTCAAGTGTCTTTCTCTCTGTCGTATTCAAAAGATTTAGAGTTTTTTATTTCAATCCATGAGTGTCAGTAGTGAAAAGTTTTTATCAATGACTCAATTCTGACTAATGTCCATGGTTGCCACTCCACTTCCTAGCAGCATCCTCATATGTGTTGCCTTGAACTAAGTCCAATTGAGAATTAAGTGGTGGTTTTCTATATTAAGCCTCCCCTCCACCACCCGATACTGTGGCCAACACTGGCCTTGTAAATATTTTATATGGTGAGGAGAGGGCTTGGCTTTGTGTCACTCAGCGCCAGTACACAAGACACATACACACACACACACAAGCTAACTGGTGATACACACACTGGTGACATCTTTGGCAGGCCAGCCGGCCAGTCATACGCTCCTGGACATCTGTTTTACTCCTATGTTATTTTTGGTTTTTAGAAGGATGACTTGCCACTTGCTCTGCGGCAGACGTGACAAGTTGTATTTGAAATCTTTTGATTTATATATGGTTTGATTGAATCTAGCTTGGCCTGAACGAGCACCCTAGCAACACTGTGTGTCTTTCTAAAGCCATATTTGAGAAATAAAGTAAGAATTTCTGTTTTGTGCAGCTTTTTTCTGTCAACTGTCTGGACTACCTGGAAAAAAAAGCCTCTAACACTGTGCTAACAACTGTGCATTTCCTCCAGTAAAGTTTTGTTCTCTAACCTACTACTTTGTGTGTTTGTCACTTTCAGGCGGCTGGACCACAATGAGCTGACCTCCATACCAGATTTAGGACAGGCTGCTTCCAAGATTGTATCCCTCTACCTGTGAGTACTGCTCCACTTGCTGCTTAACATGATACCAGAATTATCAGACTGTCTGTTACTGTATTCTGAGGTCAGTGGCCTCTTTAAATTACTCTTGAAATAGTCTCATGACAGAAGTAGGACTGCATTAATGTGAAGCTAGCAATGAGTGTGTCTCAGCTGCATGAAATAAGATCAAAAATTCCCTCCCCGCTTGAGCTCTGTTGGCGTCAATATGGCGTTCTGTCTTCAGTGATTAGCATGTGGTTGAGTAAGTGACTAGTTGTATTAGCCGGCCATGTGGTCTTGTCTACTGTGAGTGGTGCTGGCTGTTTGGAGTGTCAGCTCTTATATAGTTCCAACTTGGTTGCTCCCAGTTGTGAAACTGTGCCTGTGGAGACTGCCTACACTGGCATCTCACTGGAGATTTACTGCCGTATTTGGGAAGGGCGTGTGCGTGCTTGTGTATGTCACAAACGTGCGCTCAGCAGTCTCATTTTTATGCAGTTGAAGGAAACTCAGAATGTGAAAGTGGTTATTTGTTGACTCTATTCAAGCTACTGAATGCAAAGTTTAAGGAAAATGCACATAAATATGTTATATGTTATGATTATAGCATTGCAAAGTTGATAATGCTTTTCTAAGGAAATACATTAATTGAGTTCCTCTTACTTCTACATAATTCATATATAAGCCAGACCTCATGTAAATTTTAAAATGTTATCTCAGTACCAACAGCAATTTTCTGTGTTACTGCAGTGCTCAAGAATGTCTACAGGAATGTCAGGCACACAAAATAAACACATTACAATGAAAGGCTTTCTAAGGTTAGAGCAAATAAAATCAACTCGCTATGCAGGCGTGTTACTATTCTTAAAACAAGACAATTCTCAATGATTCTTGGGGTTATTTGACACGCATACACAGGACGAAGTACAATCGTGACAGTGTTCCACCAGTATCTTCTGTTTTTGGACTGTTGTTTTCTAGCGTGCTATAGTCTTGTCTTTTTTTTTTTTCTCCCCTCATGTGACCAAGGAGCATTCTTACATTTCAGTTAACCTGAAACAAGAAAATTAAAGCCCTTAGCTAGTCTAGTGCTAACCATCAACTTCACTCTGTATTTTCTTTCACACCTTGCTGGCATGCCGGCTGACTGCCTGGTAGTAAAGTGTACAGCTGCTGGTTCCTGTCATGTTGGTCATCATCATATCATTTTCAGTGGTGAGCTCTGTGGGAGTCACACGTTTGCCTCTCCCTCTGTGTCATCTGTCTGCTTCTCAGAATTTATCATGATGCACTAATGTGGTTAGAATATTTCAGTAAGTTGTGGGCAGTTAGTAAGAGAGGGGAATCTAGGTTTGATTGAGCAACTTTGACATCTGCCTGTTAAAAATATGTCATTTTCCCACAAGTTTGAGCTACTTTTATTGTGTGCTATTGGGGTTTTTTATTAGTGTGGATCTGTGAGGTTAACACAATCTCCTGTTTGCCTCAGATACAAAACAAGCCGAAGCAAGTTCACCTTTGCTTGCTCAAACTGTAGCTAGTCACAGGCCCTCCAAATGATCAGGGTGTCTTTTTTTGGCCTGACTTGAAGCCTGTTGCTGGGGGAAGGCCTGTAGTCCTGATGGGAGTGGAGGCTGGAGGGAGGGTCAGATTTTTACAAAGCCACGCAGCTGAAGTGAAGGCCCGCTGAAGCACTTGCAGCTGCAGCTGTCAGTCACATGGCTTACAGTAAAATGGGTGACAGTGAGCAGAGGAGGAAGGATGAGAAAACAGGGAGGGAGTAAGAGATGAGGGATGTGAATATTGTCAGATCGGGGTGACATCACCACATGTCGAAAGAGGAATGGTGAAGGAGAAGTAGTGTAGGAGGCAGTAGGAGGGTACGGAGAGTCAAACGAAGGAAAAAGGAAGTGAGAGGTGAACTCAGGTTCAGGGTTATTCCCAAAAGTAAATCCTGCGCAATGTGTATAACCTGCCAACCACCAAGCCTTCGACAGTGTGTGTGTGTGTTACTGTGTGTGCCCTGGCAGAGGCAGCAGTGCAGACTGCAGGGCAGTGTCCCCGTGCCATTGGTTGGAGATTGTCTGGAATGTCGTCTGACTACAAGTTTGTGTGAGACAGCGGCTTACTTACACACATGTGCAAGCAAATGGGCAGAGTATCCTTCTTCAGCCACTCACCCAACAGTAGACTTTCCAAAATGGGGAAAGCCTTTTTATGTGTGGTTGTCGCCGTCTGACAGTCTCTACGTTTCTGAGTGTATCAGTTATCTAGCTGCTGACGAGGTTTGCACTTATTGATTAAATGGGTTATGAAAAAGATGTCTGTAGAGTTAAACATGGTAGTTAAATTACATGGCAAGTTTCCAGGATTTCTGGTGTTCTACTTGTACAATTAAGTGTGCATTTCCTGAGTTTTTCCTGGTTCAGAATTGGCCTTTCGGGGTGACTACACATGACAGTCTACATGTTCAGTTCACTTACATTAAAAGTTATATGTCTGTGTTGCCTAATGTGAAAGAATACATGTATGCACTTTCCTATATGCAGGAAAACCGTACAATACTTTAATATAAATCAAATGAGGTCTGGGGAAATGACAGTAACTGGAAAACTAAACTATATAGTGTATCTTTGTTTTGCGTACCTTCATCCTCCCACATACATATTTATCATACTGGAAGGTGAAGAAAGAAATGCTTCGTTGGCAAAGATACAAAAACAACACAAAAAAAACTGCACCCATTTGTTGTAACAGAGTTAAAATGTTCACATGTTTGCACTAGGAATTTATTTTACAAAATCTTTCTTTATGTAGGTATGGATGCAGGAAGTATATTTAATAAAGGTGTCAAGATTGCTGATGGCTAATTTTTGCCAAGATAGATTAGTCATTCATCAGATTGTGTAACATTATCACATCGCACATCACATCACAATTCAGGGCTGTTACTTTATAAGTTTGCACTTACAAAGAACTTGCTGGCTTACTTCTGTGGGTGCACAGTGTACAGAATTCTAGAGAAGTACGGAAAGCTTATTTCTAAAATATAATAGACTAAAAGGGATGAGTGAGTGGGCTGTATTTTTTATTTTTTTTTTGCCAGATTCCTTTTTTCTTCTCTTCTTTCTTCTTAATCTCCTGCTTGGTTGAAAGGTGACTCAGTCCCTTTTCTTTTGCCTTTTTCTGCCTCCCCTTGCTCTCTCCCTTTAGTCGTTTTTATTGACGTGTCTGGCAGCGTGTTGAGATTGCTGCAGCTCCTACTGAATTCATTAGGCACAAATAACCCAGACAAGATGATTGTATTGATGCAGTTTAAACTTTTGTTCACCGTCATTCGATTCGATTTTCATCAATTAATCCGGCAAAGCTTTGAGGTGCATCTTATAAAGAACACAGTTAAACACTAAAACAGATCATCTGAGCATATTGAGGCTTCTGATGAACAATCCAAAGTCCGTATGCCAGGCCACCACTCACCCACAATGCACTTGACAAGCCCACTGACATCCTGCAGACTCCCACAATGCCACAGCAGGATGGCAAAAAAGGAAAAAAATAGATGCAACAAAAAGTTTTAAAAACACAGTGTCAAAGTGACAGCAGAGCAGCACAAACTTTCCCATTGTGCTCCTCGCCTGCCCAGCAAACATCAAAGGACCCCTTTAAAACAGCTTGGGATAAAAATCATATGGCCCGCTGGATGATCTGATTTTGAAATAATTCTCCTTTTGTCCCGACCGCCGGCTTCAAACGGGAAGGGACAGGCCAAACAATCAACCTCAAAGATGACACTGGAAACAGGAGAATGGGCATGCTAGTGTAAACCCCTGATGCACTTTCCATACATCAAAAGAAGTGTCAAAATGAGCCGGGCTCACGATAATCAGATGGTCAATGGGGCAGGGTAATGAGATTTGGAATTAAGTAGAATCAAGGCGAATAAGGCCGTCGGACATCAAAGGGAACAAGAGCGAACCGAGCTCCTCTTTATCAGAAATGTCACTGGCCATATGATAATCAGTTTTTATAAACGCTACTATTGTATGTGTGGACTTCAAACACGTCGAGCACCGAGGTTTTATCTGTCTCTCACAGGCAGCTGGGCTCTGGCTGTGGGAGGAAAAGGGGGGAGGAAAGGGGGGAGGATTTGGGTTTGAGTGGCGGAAGAGGAGCAGGGCGAGAGAAAGAGTGAGAGAGGTCAACTTCTCCCACCAGTTTGAGACTGATCTGTTTTTCCCAGCAAAGGTCACCAGCTGTTGACCCCACCTCACCCCTTAATTCTCCCCCCCTCTCTACTTTTCTCCTCCCCCATTCCTTCCCACCCTCTGTTGCTCCTTTTGCTCACTGTAGCCACTGTCTGTTGCTCTGTCCCATGTGTGCGTTTGTTATTTGTGCTGTGTGTGTGTGTGTGTGTGTGTGTTTGCGCATGTGTGCTCATCCTTAACCATTTCTGCCACTGTTTATTCAGGTGGGCCACTGTGGTGTGTGACCCCTCCTCCTCTCAGACACCAATAAATGACTGTGTGTGTGTGTGTGTGTGTGTGTGTGTGTGCGTGTGTGTGTGTGTGTTCATCTACTGACTGCAGGCTAGAACGGAAGGAGGGACTGACCTTGTTTTGATGAGTTTGACTGGTGCAACACCTGCTCTCTCTTGCTGTTCCTGTCAAACACACACCCACCAACCTGCAATCAGTCAATATTATATTATAATGATGTTATTATATCAAGGGAATTGATTTAAAGATACACGATTTAGTTGTAATGCATGCATGTAATACACACCAATGTGCTAATTCCCAATGCAGGACAAGTAATTGTCGTCTAACTGCGAAGACAGTGACCTCATCAAATTGGCCTGACGTAGTTGTAGTGAGTGTCATCAGATCTGGAAAGAGAGCTGGTGGTAAATCTGAACGGGTCAACCCCAGGTCAGGTGACCCTTCCCCTTAGTAGGGTTGGATGCAGGCTGGATGCTGTGTGAGTTTTTTGCGCTGTTGCTTGTCATTCAACGTAATGATACCAACTAGGGCTAAGCGATATAGCGCTGAAATTTATTACAAAAAAATTAAACATGTTTCTTTTTAGTTGAATTCATTGTTAAAGACTTATTTGGATTTAACCACTTTAGCTTATTTATCACAGTACACGGGCAATAATTTTATTGATAACACAACAATGTAAAGCACATGAAAGTAAATAGTTACGCACATAAATAAGAATAAAGGAATCTTCCCACCAACCAAACATTTTCATTTTTGTGATGCGTTTTCATGGTAGGTTGCATCTGATTCATTTAACTGAAGCTATTAAACGTTCTCTCGGGCAGTTTTCCTATTCATACTGACAAATTGTCTATTGTCAGTACAGACAGTATGGCTGTCATTCTATCACCCAGCTCTAATGCCCACATTTAACTGACTTTCCCAAAACAGAATGGACTTATAAGGGAAAAGCAGTGTATGTATGGGTGCATGGAGGGGGCTGAAACCTAATTTAGGTTTAGTCGGACCAGATGTATCAGTAAAGCCTTGTCATATACACATCTCAGTAGAGTGTAAATGTGAGAGAAAGAGTAGGATGGTTAATACAGCCCGTTTAGACAGAGTTCATGCCAACTGTCAAGAACACCCCCTCATTATGCTGCTGTTGCTTGCGTTTTCTCGTTCACACTGAACCAAATAAGCTGGTGTAACGCCGCTCCTGTCTGAACTTTCACATAGCTTGCCGGTGTTCCAGAACCAGAGCCGTGATGTGTAACACAACAGTGTTGCTGTCTAGTGTGGTTGTCATCATGCCGCCTCCCTTTCACATAGACAATGATTCAGCACCTGCTTAAATGCAAAACAACAATGCCTTCTGTCTCTGTACCTTGTACACAGAGGGCTTATCATTAACTAAGTTTAAGACAGTGCTGTTCGCCCTGGGGGTGGGAATTTTTAACTGACTTGTTATGGACAGTAAATTTTGACAGTTACCTAACAAGCCAACGTCAAAAACATTTTGGAGACTAAAACTTTTTGGACTTCACCTGAATGGTTAAAGGAAGAATCCCCACTAAATGAAGCAATGACAGTTGGCCTTTTCTTTCTGTGTGTGTGTGTACCTGCTTTTTAAAAAAATAAATTAAGTAGCAGATTATTTTACTTTTTCACCTTCCTCTTATTTCCTTCCCCTTTAACTTGTTTACTTTAGTTTTCTTTTAGACTAGTCAGGCAAATGAAAGCGATACTAAATGAAATTCCCATCCCTAGTTAGCACCCAGTCATGTGTCAAATGTGTCACCCAGCAAAGGCTTTCATGTATACTCGGATAACGCGGGCCTTCAGTCTCCTGACACGCTCACATATACATAGAGACACAGATGGCTATCAAGCAGTGTTTCCCACAATCCAGTTCTCCTCACGACTAAAGGGTACTTGGACAGCATTCTTTTACTATCATTCTCGTTCTCTATCGTCTTCATTGTGTGGAGTGAGTGAGTCCTGGTCCTCAAAATAACCCACCACAGATGTTGAGGAACACAGGATAGGGTGGAGTGAGTGACCCTCCATTCCACACAAGACCCCTAAACAGGGCTGAAGTAAAAACTCAGATCTTTTCAGTCTTCTCTGGGGCTCCTGGCTCAACCAGGACAACATGGCCTGACAAAACATAGCTGAGATAGAACGTTTCCTTATGTAGAACCTCCTACTTTCTCCTGTTTTTCTGAGGAAACTTTAAACAAGCCAGGGTGCATGCTTTTTCCTTTTCTGGGTTCATACACATCAACAGCCACAATTTTTGTGGCATCTTTTCAAGTTTTGATTTTGTGTTGTCAGTTGTGCCTTCTCCTGTGTCCTGTGTATATTACAGCCTTGATAGTGGCCAGACCTTCTTGAGAATCACAGCCTTCTCGCTATTCCATCACACGCTAAAGTACTCAGAAAATCTCCCTTCAAGTGGCTCTGGTTGATCACTGAGGCCCCATCTATCTAAAAGATTTTGTGACTGTTTCTTTGTCCTTGGAATTGTTTAAAGAAGGCCAGCCTCTGTTTGGAAGCTCTGAAAGTACGCATTTTGTGGTGGATGAAGACCACTTTGTTCTGTGTACTCTTCTCTTTGTGTGCCTGAGTGGGCTTAGAGAAGCCTGGGTGAATGGAGTGTCCTGCCTGGGTTGATGGGAATTGTACACTTAAGTTTAGCGAGGCAACAGTGTAGACTTTTTGCTCGATGTGAGTAGAACTGTCGACCACCCCTAATGTCTTTTATGTGTGTTCCTTATATTTCAGACATCATAATAAGATCCGCAGTGTTGATGGCAGGCGGACCAGAGAGCTGGTTTCTGTGGAAACTCTGGACCTGAGCAACAATGACATCACTGAGCTACGAGGGCAGTGCTTCCCCGCAGGCCTCCAAATCCGAGACCTGTAAGTACAATCTGTGGCACATAACACACCTTTCTTAAAAAATGGGGGTACTTTCATACAAAACATCAAGCTTTAAAAATTTGTCAACAGTATTTGCAGAAGCAGTGAATATCCCTTACAATTGTGCCTGGAATATCAGTTGCATTGAGTTTTTCAATGAAAACACATGAGGTAAAACTGATTACAGCATACAAGAAGTATCTGAAATAACTCCAGAGACAGATAAACCGGGCCATTAATAAACATGTGTTTGGGGCTTGCTGTAAATCTTTTACATCACAACATGGTTTGTCTGTGTTCAGGTACCTGAGTAACAACAAGATAAGCACGTTGGAGGTCGGAGTGCTGGACCATCTGGGCTCAACGCTGCAGGTCCTGAGACTGAGCCGAAACCGCATCAGCCAGATCCCAGTTAAAGCCTTCCAGCTCCCGAGGCTCACCCAGCTGTGAGTACCACTGGATTTTATCAGTTTAACAACATAGTTAGCGTGCTGACAAGGTTGTGTTTTGATCTGTCAGAGCAGTTTGCCCTGCAAAAACATTCTACTTTTGACATTTACGTTCAGGCTGACAATGAATGAGTTTTCCCAGTTATAGCCTTTGGAGACATTACAGAATAGAAAAGAATTAAGAGTTTGAATAAGTAGGAGTTGCTAGTGTCTGTTGATCGAGCTCTGTGTGTTTAACATTTGGAACGCTATTAGTGTGAGCTATACCTCTAAGGGTGGATAAGGTCTGACTAGGTAAACACCCGGGCCCTATTATTAGTGATTTATTGCCTTCTTCCATATCCCCAAAGTGGTTAGTTCATTCCCCACACCATGCTCCATTATCTTTGTCAAACTTCCCCCCAGCATAACAGTGAGGTCGACCCATTTGTAGCTCAACGCCTCTATTCTGGAGAGCAAAGGGACTCACGTAATGGGAGTCTCCCCCCATTGTGGCTCCAGTGGTTTCCCCAGGTGCCTTTTGTTGGACAGGTGGCCCCGGTGACACTGTATCTGCACATGGTAGTGGTGATGCACATTAGCCATAAAAGAACCTCTGTGGATGTTTATCTTTGCCAACCTGAGGGCTTTTACAGCCTTCACACACACACACACACACACACAGCAGCTGTACAGATTCATTGTTACGTGCTCAGGCGTTATATACAGAAGAAAACGAGCGCAGTTTTTAAACATCTTTTGCCACATTTTTCTATATCCCTCCTTGACTGTATCAATGTTAATACTAGTGTTTATAGCTTGACCCTTGTTTGTGAGCTAAAGCCTGTGGTATACAGCCCTGGCCCCTTGCCACCACTGAGGAATGCCTGCAGGCTGCAGGACTGTGTGGTTTTGATTTGGTTGGGATGGATGCTCATGTTGAAAGGAAGCAAAACCCTTCTGAATCTAAAAAGACGTGTTTTCCTCTTGCTTTGCCTTAACATTGCCGAATAGTTTATTAAAGACTTTCTCCCATGATGAGTTGCTACATTTGTTGAGTGTGTGTCTTTTTCATCTGCCCTGCAGTGAGCTGAACAGGAACCGTATTCGTCAGGTAGAGGGTCTTACCTTCCAGGGTTTGTCCAGCCTGGAGGTGCTCAAGCTGCAAAGAAACAGCATCAGTAAACTAACTGATGGAGCCTTCTGGGACCTGGCCAAGATGAAAGTCCTGTATGTAACAAATCAGACACGCTATCAAGACCTAAAGATAATCATTTGCATTAAGTTAGATGTATATAAGTTGAATATGTGAGTGACTTATCATCCAACATGTTTTGCTTTATGGCCACTTAGTTTTTATGCATAACATGTCACATCATCATCATTATCAGTTATCTCATTTATGTAATTTGGGTGCTACACGGAGGTTGGAGTGCTTGGAGCAAGCATTACCTGATAGGCTAATCCTATTTGTTCCAGTTACTGACTATTACAGGAATACACACCAACCAAAGAAAATGACCCTTACTGGAACTTGCTCACAATCACAAAAATCACACTTTCCCCCAGCCGACATGCAGTTTTTACATAATTACTCAAATTACATACATAATAACAGAGTAATGGCCACAAATTGCATTGCAATTTACAGAAATGCTGCTGCAAATTTAGCCATTTCAGGGTGCAATGATACCACTGACATACTGAAAACCGTTGTGTCAACAAATTCTCATTGCAATATCTTTTTTCCCCCTTAAATGTTGTCTCCTGCAGCCACCTGGATTACAACAGCTTGACAGAGGTGAACAGTGGCTCCCTGTATGGCCTGACCTCCCTTCAGCAACTATTCCTCAGTAACAACTACATAGCCCGCATCAATCCTGATGGATGGAAGTTCTGCCAGAAGCTCAGGGAACTGTGAGTACCAGCATTTAAATTAGCCAGAACATCCAAACACAATGTGTGCCACTTTGTTAAAGCAACTAGCAGAAAATTCAATGCAGACATTCAATAAAGAAACTTCAGCCTAAAAAGAAAAATAAAGTTAGATATACAAACTTTGTGTACACAGCTAATAAAGCTGTAAATTGGTTTACCTTTTTGTCTGTGTTCAGTGATATAAACCCCTTGTCTTAAAGCCTGAGAACCCGACTCTCTCCACCCACTACCCATATCATCCATCTAGCTTCCTCAGGGTTAAATGACATTTTGCTTTAACACTCAATACGCTACGCTATTCTCAGGATAAGCCTGTTTATCCCATAATTAGAGCTGGGCTCAACAGCACTCAAGCCCTTCGACAAGAGTTTTTGTACTCTGTTCTGAAGTGCAGGGGTTTGGTAAACTGGCGTGTAATCCTCCGCTGGTTGTGTTGTGGTAATTACACTGAAGGATCACCTTCACTGCCTTTGTCTACCGAGTTATTATCTGAGAGTCTTTCCTGTACTGTTGACATGACTGGTGTAATGCTGCTTTAAAGTGCTTCGCTCAGCTGAGGCGTTGCTAACTACGAGGTAGCCCGCGCTATCTGTGGCGCCTATGTTTGTTTATGTGTAACAGTCAGAAGGGACAAAGAGCTAGATGGTGATTGTGCTAGTTTGCTTTGTGCATCTCAATGCTGTTTCCTGTGTGCACATCTTATGAATGACAGATTGCTCCAGGCACTGTTTGTGAATCAGCCTCCCAGCACTGTGCCAGTCACCGGTTATATGATTTTGTTATCTAGAGTTATGATGACCCCCACGACTGATAGAAGTGAGTGACTCGTCTTTATGAGGAGCCTGTTATTGCATTCCCAATGCGCCAGGCTGAGCTGGTCATCAGGGAGAATCTCTGCACACATGACTGGCCAAGCAAACCTGAAGCCTGGCCACAGAGACAGAGAGAGAGGGCCACAGAGAGGGCAATAAAATGCACAATACTGCCTTTGAACACTGTTTGAAAGATACCATTATAGGATGTATTATCATTTGTAATCAGGACTTTCCAAGAGGTATTATTTACAAACCATGAAAACAAAAACTCATACAAGGCGTTTAAACAAGTTTTGAGCCTTTGTTTTCACTTGTTTCTGAAGCAAATCACCTTGTAAGTCCTGCTAAAACAAGTAAAACTTATTAGATCTCCAGGCTTTAAGATGAAGAAGTTTCTGAGGCTGGATATGAAAATATATAACATTTTGAGGACTGCAACACACGATGATGATATATTCCTCTGGGGTTTACCGCATGCTCAAGTAAGCTTATAAATGAAGGTTGTAGACATGTAAAATTCCAACCAAGAATTTCCTTTCCTGTCAAACGATTCGGACCTTAGTTGAGCTCAGAGGTCTGCAAAACTCATTCTCTGTTAACATCTTTCGGTGAGGAAAAAGTCACAATGGAAAAACGCATCACAGAGTGGCAAATAGACATTGAATCAGCCATGAAATTTAAGTATGATGATGTCGCTAGCTGCCTCAGCGTTCTGCCAACATGTCATCTCCTTCCAGACCTCACACAGACTGTTTCTCTGTCTCCCCCCTTTTTATTTTTCCTTACTTTCTCTCCACCTCTGTGTCTGTCTCTGTCGTCTTTTCTGTCTGTCTGTACCTCTTTCTCTCTCCAGGAATCTGTCGTACAACAACTTGACTCGTCTGGATGAGGGGAGTCTGGCTGTGCTGGGGGACCTCCACACCCTCCGCCTGGGCCACAACTCCATCAGCCACATCAACGAGGGAGCCTTCAGAGGCCTCAAGGCCGTACGCGTCCTGTAAGTACACCACCCCCAACCACCATTACCAAGCCCCAAACGACCCCCAACAACCCACTCATTTTGGTTTCGGTCCCGCTGACGATAAGGCTAAGATGTGCCACTTGGGAGCAGTGAAAGCTGAGATGCTTAATATTGGTTTTGCCTGGGTGATATTTGATATTTAGTAGTCCCTTCAGTTGACTTTAGAAAGTGGGGGTTGTTTACTTTTCAGCATGGGTTTGATCCCATTTACATTCATGTCTATTCGTGATTTTCTTTTTCTTTTTTTTTCACTTTTACGAGATGGCTATTGTCTTAGTTTCTGTAGCAACTTCTCACTTTTTTTGTGCCTTTTTTCACTTTGTTCCTTTTGTTGGGTTTTGTTTTGGGGCTTTTGTTTTGTCTCCAAACACTAGTTTCCCAACAAACTTGGGTCTAAAAGTGTTCTGTGTCATTCAGCTCCCTTGAGATCCTTCCTTGCTTTTAGAAGCCATGAATAAAGGCAGAGGTTTCTTTTCCCCCTCTGGTCCACCTTCTGCACAAAACAAAAATCTAAAGAAAGAAAAGGAGAGAACCAAAAGGACAAAGTCAGTGGATAAATCCAGCAGAAAGACTTGGGGGTCTTGGTTCTAAACCAAGGTCCTCTTGGCTACGCAACTTCCCAGTGAGGGAGCCAGAGAGGAGAGTTGTGCCAGAGCTCGCTCGACAAGCTCTTTCTCACAGCGGGGTGACAAGCCAAGGCACATAAGGCCTCTCTCTCTGTTGGCACACTGGGTGCAAGATAACTAGCTACAGAGGGAAGTTGAGGGTGGGACACAGAGCTTTGACTGCCATATCTCAGTTTTTCTCTCATGTTTTTCTTTCTTGTCTTTAATTGCTCACTTTGTTGCCTTTAGCTGTAGCCTTTCAAAGCACACTTAATGCCCATTTCTTCTCCTCTGCCGTCCTAAGTGTATTCTGTCATCTCCCCATGTTATCCCACAATACACACATGATCTCCGTCTTCATTTTAAATCTTTTTTTTTTTCCCTCTCCCTTCTTGCATCACTCCTGCTCTCTGTGTCTTTGAGGCAGTCCTAATCTAATCAGTGGAGGGGAGGACAGGCATAGGCTGAGCCCTGAAAAGGAGCTGGGAGAGCTTTAATTGGGCCTGCGCTGCTGGTTGTGCTGGCATGGGGCTGGAGCCTGCATCAGGGTGTGAAAGCTCCAAACAAGCCAGCCTGCCCTCTAATTCGGCCACGGGGGTCTTTGGCTCATCGGGGCCCCCTTCTCCATGCCCGGTCACTCTGCTCCACAGCCCCCACCACTGGCCTTGCTTTAACAAGGCAATGGCCATTCACATGCAGTCAGCCAGAAAGAGTAGGAAATTGGCAGCCCCAGTCCAGTCCAACTAAGACAGCGGCCAGTGGAGACTGAAAAGAACCAGAGGGGGATAAGAGATGCTTGGAAAGCAAAGGGAGGAGGAGGAGGAGGAGTTGGAGGCTGTTGTTGTGGAGGTGGAGGAGGGTGTGGCTGACTGTCAACCTCAAAGGCCTTTCTCAAGTTTGGAAGAAAGCCTTTCGGTGGTTCAGAGAAGTTTTCCGACTCTGTTTTTCTTTTCGTTGTGATGCAGGAGGGTGGAGTGATGGCTCTTCTGCAGCTATGACTTCACCTAAAGATGTAGCTCTTTAGACCTTGCAGGAGGATGCAGATGCATTCAACAAGTGTTCGGAAACCCCCAACCGCTGTAAAAGAAGCCCTTTTTCTGTTTTCTTTCATACTTTGAATGTACTCTGTCTTTGCCTGGCCATGGCTGAGCTTGGCCCCTAACCCCATTAAGACTCTTGGCTGTACCATACCTGCCACCATCGGATGCACAGTCCCAACTGTCTGGCCTCTCACTAGGCATTGTGTTCTTGCCAGTCACTCCATGCCGTCATGAATTATACATGTTTCCCTGTGCTGGGGTTTGCCTCGACACACCAATGCACACGCACGCATGCACGCACACTCACGCACACTCACGCACACTCCTTCTCCACCCCTCTAAGGAAAGAATGCGCTTGGTTGGCAGAGCAGAGCGGCAAAGAGGCTCTTAAGGCCAGGTGCAGAGGGGGGAGGATGATGGTGGGAGGGAGAATGGGCGAAGGGGTAACCCGTGACTTCCAGAGCAGCCTCTGCCAGGGCTGTGAAACGCTTCAGCGCTGGCAGACCCTGTCCCTGCTCCTCTCCTCCCGCCTTCCATCTTTCTTATCCCACTCTTTTCTCTCATTCTCCACAGGGAGCTGGACCATAACGACATCTCGGGGACAATAGAGGACACCAATGGGGCCTTCTCTGGATTGGACAGCCTCAACAAGCTGTGAGTGTCTCCCCTCTTTCTTTCTTCTATTCCCCCCTCCTCTCTTCCTCTATCAACCCCTCCTTTTCATCTCTGTCCTGGCCTGCCACTGTTTCTGGGATTCTCTCTGTTCTTTTTGAAAAACACTGAAACAGCATTCTCATTTTTCTTGCATCCAGAAGTTTCCCTCTGAGTCCCCTATGCATCCCTTGTTGCCAAATAAGTTTAGCCAGTCCAATTTAAGGCCACAGAGTTCAGAAGCTTAAAACGTCTGTCCCCTCAGGACCCCACACTTCACTTGGAAAGGAAGTGCTCACACTGAGCAATGACTTATAAGGCCCCTCTTCTTTTTATTTACAAGGTTTGTTCATGAAACATTGAAGGTAATTTTTTTTGCTCCTGTCATCCTGTGGAAGCCCAAGCCACTTGAATCTCCAGTTCAATCTGGCTTTCATCTTATGATTCCATTGTTTCCTAGAAGCTTTATGAGCAACCTGGGTTCTTTTTTTGCAGATGATAGTTCTATAAGGAGACACGGCAAATCATTTTTATCAGTTCTTCATGATTATTTATGTCCTCGCGCAGCTAGTAAAAAGTTCAATGTCGAAAGTTAGCGAGTTGAGAAATTACAGCAGGCGTGAAGTTTCTGGCAATGAGAGGCAATCATCAACCTGCAGGATGAAAAGATGATGTCCAGCCAAGATGGTTCCCAGTGTGAGCACCGCTTCAAGAAAGAAGGAGAGAAAGAAGGAGAGAAAAGGCTTTTCTTTAGGCTGGCAGGGGTTCGCTCCCCAATAGGCTTATTTCTATTTCTCCTCCATGCCTCCGCTTTTCTCGTCCCCTCATTCCCAGTCTCTGTTGTTAGGAACTCAGAGAGGGTGAAATTGAGGGCTGCATTCAGTCATCAAACATCAAACGCCTCACACGCCCCGCCCTCTGACCCTGACACTTTTGTCACGGCGTTGGCGGAAGCAGCCCGCTGCATCCCAAAACTGGCAAAGTGAGTCATGGGAAAAAAAAAAAAAAAAAAAAGATGCAAAAAGAAGGGGACATCAAAGTGTCCACCACACATACTGGGTTCCCTAAATGCAGATTGTGAATGCCGCCACACAGAATGGAGGCGGTTCTTACAGCACAACAGACTGATTTGGTTTTTATTCAGTTTTATTAAACGAGAGATGCATAAATGACAAAGTAGCCGACTCGTTATCCCTGTGACAAGACAGCCATTTGTTTGTGTGTACATGTGGATGAGTTTAAACACTGGGGTCTTCATTGTGAGTCAGCCAGCCGTATGTCCTCTTCCTGTGGTGTGAGCGGAGAGGAGGTAGTAGTGGGGAGGGGAGGGATTAGGACCCCAAATCAGAGAGAAAAGCAACTCACTTTTTTGGCTTGACAGGCAGCGACACGCACTCGAATGATTGCACGTATGTCCTTACAAGCCCTGCTGGGGAAAAAGAAAAAAGAAAAAACCTCACCACACACACAAGCCAAGCCTGGTCATTGCTATTAAAATTCTAATAAAGATAAAAGTGGTCTTTGAAGAGCGGCGCAGAGCCCAGGTACCCCCCCTCCAACCATCCACCCCCCCACCCCCCCACCCACCCCCCCGCCTCAACCTCATTCACTCTTGCTCACCCTTCCTCCTGGTTTAATCTCCACACAGTTCAGATTTCCAATACCTAAATCCCCTTACTCTTATCAGATTCAGCCTCACTAATTGTGCTTCTCTTCCCGTCTTGCTCTCTCTCTCTTCTCACCCCTCCCCTCACCCCTCTTCCTCTCCTCCCTCCCCCTTCTCTTCATCTATCGACACCCTTCATGTTTGGAAACGGCAGGACTCTGTTTGGAAACAAGATCAAATCGGTGGCCAAGAAAGCCTTCTCTGGCCTGGAGACCCTGGAACACCTGTGAGTATCCCACAAGAGAGCGAGAGAGGGGTTGAGTGTAAGGGAGAGGGGGTGGGGGTGAGGAGGGGCGGGGGGGGTTGCCAAAACTAGCTGGCAGAGAGGAGGTTGCTAGCAATTTAATAGCGTCTTTGTAAAAGGAGAAGACAGGGGCTTTTGCGAGTGCCCAGCTGCTTCTCTCTTGTTAGCCTAGCACAATCTCAACTTTGGCCTTTTTTTCCTGCCTCAGTGCAGGAACAAAGTTATTGAGCATATGGCGAGCTCTGTAGAAGAAATGGAATTCCTATAAGCTCTTTCACAGGCTTTTGTCAAATGAGGGCAGGGAGTGATGGAAAAGCTGGCATGTACCCTCGTACCTACAGACCTGGATATTTCCACTGTAGTTAAAAGTCAGATACTTGTTTAGATTCTGTGTAGATGTAAGGGCAGTTTGTGTACAATTAACTAAAACTGTGTGTAATATCCCAACAGGAACTTGGGGGATAATGCTATTCGCTCCATCCAGCCTGATGCTTTCAGTCGGATGAGGAACTTCAAAAGCCTGTAAGTTATGTTGATGCATTTACACACATACACAGAAGTTATGTGCATGAAAAATCCTACTTATAGAAGCAGTCAACAGCATATACACACACACACACTCCTCGACTCCCCCTTTAGCATCTACACACGCTCTCAGAAGTGCATATTTAGTTACAATAGATGTGCAATATACCTGATGTCCTCCTCTTTCCTCTCCTCTAGTCTCATCCAGAGCAACAGTTTCCTTTGCGACTGCCAGCTCCAGTGGCTGCCTGAGTGGTTGGTGACACGTGGTTTGCAGGCCGGCGTTAATGCCACCTGTGCCCACCCGGAGAACCTGAAGGGCACCAGCATCTTTGAGGCTCCGTCCAACAGCTTTGTCTGCGGTGAGTGTTGTGCGTGCGCGCATTCTGTTTATGTGGGCGGCTGTCTTCAGTAAGAGGCGTTTGTTATAATTAAGTATGATTCAAGCTATTATGTGTTCTGAGTCTGTATTTTTCCATGAAGCCTATGGTTCTTATAATCAGTTAAGTTTCAAGTTATTATGTATTCTGAGTTTGCATTTTGTACTGAGCTTATGTCCTTGAAAATAATGTGGCCAGTGAGAACTGGTTTGCACACCTGGAGATAGCGGAAACTCCTCTTTTCTCTTAGACACGATTGTTGCTTTAGCTACACGCCGTACCAACAACATCCACACACGTTGCTTACCAAATATCAAGGACGTGGACAGAGCACAGAAGGATGCCTGTCCACGCCATTAATAACTGGCCAACTAAATCTTATCTATGTTCGGGGCAGGCCCAGCCCAAGAAGATATCTGTAACCTGGAACCGAAAACACTCAGTTCAGCTGGACATGAGATTCCTCTCTGTCCCTCTGAATTCCAGCGCTGCAAAACTTTACCTGTGACCTAAATAAATTCTGCATCTGAGAACTGAAGATTTCTCCGGCTTGTTCTTGGGCTTCCAATTAAAGAACTGGATCTAACACGTTTGAGGCACAGCTTTGCGCTCTGCTGTTATTTACATAGTTGCACATATTTGTGTGGTCTTTTAGTCTGCCGCTCTGCATTCGCACTCAGAAATGCTAATGGTTCCTTATGTGCGTTTTATTTAGCACTTTCACACCCATGTATACATAGCAAGCAGACACCTACTGAGAGGCATTTGTGATGTTTGACTTTCTCGACTTACTTTCTTCCTTACACTTGTGCCTTTCTCTCCACCTTCAGATGACCTGCCCAAACCTCAGATCACCGTGCAGCCTGAAACCACAGTGACAGTCCTCGGAAGTGACGTTCGTCTCACCTGCACGGCAGCAAGCAGCAGCTCTTCCCCCATGACCTTTGCCTGGCGTAAGGACCAGGAGCTGCTTCGTCACGCAGAGATGGAGAACTATGCCCACGTGCGCGCTCACCACCAAGGCGCAACATCTGATGTGCCGGGCGCAGGAGGAGGCGTGATGGAGTACACCACAATCCTGCACCTGCGGCACGTCACTTTTGCCCACGAAGGGCGTTACCAGTGCATCATCACCAACCACTTTGGTTCCACCTACTCCAGCAAGGCCCGCATCATTGTCAATGGTATGTTGTGTTTTTCTTTTTTACAATCAGATATCTAGTGATATTTAGTGCAGGCAAACTTGTTGACCTCTGTTAAAATCATCTACATTCTTGAAAGAGATCATTGTGGTTGTAAAAACAAAACAAAAAATGAGTCAATGAATGAATTAGAACAGAGAAAAATTGAAGAATGTCAATGATCCTTGCTAAGGCAAGATAGGCAGGCGATATCTCCTTCATCTGTTAAAAAGTGTGTCATTACACCATTTCCACTATGTTTATGCTATACTTATCTAGGTTTCAATTGCTCCATTTGACAGGGGAGCGATAGAAATCAGTGGACATGCTGAGTTCTTCTCTTTCACTCAAACAAAGTTTTGTCTTGCTCAGCCTCCATCTCTCCCACAGGATGGTATTTGGAACAAATTGATTTAGCTGCATGTCAGTGCTAACAGGGTCATCTCTTATGCGCTCTGTCACTCTGGTTTTCTGCAAATGGAGAGTATTTATTCACAGTTAGATTCCCCTGCCAAAGTCTGCTTCCGACCTCTAGCTTCTTCACTCTCACACAGACTGAATAACTTTTCTGCCTGTTGTCTTGGCATACACATGGATGTAAAGACGCTGAAACTGCCAAAAAGGCAAGTTTTCCTATAGGAGTTAGAGATGTGGGCTTCTAACCGGAAGTTCCCTGATTTGAATGCCAGCAGCAGCTGGGAAATGTGGTTGGAAGAAGCGCTGTAATCCTTAACAACTGCTGTCAAAGTTCTTGACCAAAACTGCTAGAGAACAGCCCATCAGCTTCCTGCGATGAAGATGTAGAACTGTGTGTTTGTAAATGAGAGAACTGCTGAAAAAAAAAAAAAAATATGGACAGTCAATGTAATTAGAATACGTTGACATTTGTGTGTGCTTCTTCCACAGTCCTCCCATCCTTCGTGAAGACTCCCAGGGACAGCACCATTCGAACCGGCCACACCGCCAGGCTGGAGTGCGCCGCAGAAGGTCACCCGGCACCTCAGATCGCCTGGCAGAAGGACGGCGGTACAGATTTCCCTGCCGCCCGTGAGCGCCGAATGCACGTCATGCCCGACGACGACGTGTTCTTCATCATGGACGTCAAGCCGGAGGACATGGGCGTGTACAGCTGCACTGCCAAAAACACAGCAGGCACCGTCTCCGCCAACGCTACCCTCACCGTACTGGGTAAGAGCTGCAGCGTTGTTTCTTGTAACTCAGTTCTGCCGGCTTTGCCCCTTTTTTGACTTGTGTTCAGCGCAACACAGCATTGACCATATTCCCACATCTTCAAAAATGAACTCTTGTAAATAGCTGGGCACTCAGCTGGGAATTGGTCAGTCCAAGCTGTAGAATGAGAAGCTTTATATTTTTCTTTTCTCGGCAGCTGTGGCCTTGCTGCAGGTCAGGGGCCAGAGGTCACAGATAGGGGTCAAAGGGGGGATAGTGGGGGAGCAAGGGGGACTCACAGAGGGGTGTTTGTTTGGCATTCCCACCCCCTTCTCCTCTCACGGTGGGAGGGACAGTCATGGCTGCTTCACTGCAGGCCTCAGTGCTCCCAGTTTATTGGCTGTTTTACACTGTTAAATCAAACAAAACAGAGCTTCTCTCTCAGCACATAGATCATCTTTGTCCTTTGTCTTCGAGCAAAGCAGCCCCTTGTTGGACAGAAAAAAAAAGAAGAGGGGTGGGGGGTGCTTCTTTCGTTACTACCCTTAAATTCCCCCTAAAGAGCTCATAAGCAACAGTTTCTATATTTAACTGGCGGATTTCAATCGGTGACACATTTGCTTGTTGTGCGACTTGCGAGAGACTTCTCAGCAGTTCAAGTGGAGTGCTAATCCACTCAGCAATGTAAGATATTGAAGCAAGCAGCCATGCCTGTGTGCTGAATCTGTGATGTTTGGGTTTGAGAGACAGAGTGGAAGGAGAGGGGGGGAGCTGTAGTCGAGGGGCCCCTGTCTGGAAAAGAGTGGTGGGGGAGAAAAATAGGAGCCAAAGAAGAACTGGAATGGTGGAGTGTGTTGGGGGAAGGTAGGCGAGGGGGATTTAGAGAAAAGAAAAGAGTTGAGGGGGTAGTAGAGGCGGAGAGAGAGAGGGGGGATTGATGGAGAGGGAGAAAGTATTGATAGAAGAGAGAAGGGCGACTGAAGTGGGTTAAGTGAGATCTCTTAATCTGTGTATGTCCCACTGTGAGGGGAAGTGCTCAGTCTGAGAGGAGAGGCCAACCTTCACACACACACACACACTCACTCAGTTCAGTGTGCTCCATTCACCAGAACGCGAAGTTGCCGGGGAAACACTGAAAACATTGTCCCGTCCCGAGAGAAACCTTGTTTATGTGTCGCGATGCAAAAGAAGTGTAAAGATAACTGATTTTAGAATTTGTCAGCATTACAGATATGACCTCAGGTGTATAAATATCACCGTTAGATGAGAGTGTCATCGTGAGATTAGATTTCAGCGGTTGGACATCAAACTCAGTACATCACAGTTTGTGCTCGGTCCATCCAGCTGAATCACCATGATCCCACAGTCTGCAATCGATACCGCGAACAAACAGAGCTGAAGCAGCAACCCGAGAACAGAAACCTAAACCTTCGATGCCGTAGAATAACAATAGAATAATAGAAATCCCTGACCTCAGGAATCCTGCAGCCTTCAGGCTTTTTATGAGAACCCCTCTCTTCCACAGAAACCCCCCACCTGGCCCAGGACCTGGAGGACCGCAGCGTGGTGGTCGGGGACACAGTGGCCCTGCAGTGTAAAGCCCTGGGCAGCCCGCCTCCTCGCATCACCTGGCTGCGCAACGACCAGCCGCTGCGCCCCTCCGACAGACACCACTTCACACCGGGAAACCAGCTGCTGGTCATCGGAGCCGCATCGCTGGAGGACGCCGGCCGCTACACCTGCCTCATGTCCAACACCCTGGGCACAGAGCGCGCCCACAGCCAGCTGGTGGTCACTCAGCGCAGGAACCCCTGCACGCCACCGTCGGGCCCGAGCACGGTCACCATAGGCATCATTGTCATCGCTGTGGTCACGAGTATTGTGGTGACATCGCTGGTGTGGGTGTGCATCATCTACCAGACCAGGAAAAAGAGCGAGGAGTGTAGTGTGACCAACACAGGTGAGCTGGGATCTACTCTGTCCTTCTGTGGTAGCTAAAAACTGACTGTGCTTTGAATTGCATGCTTTTACTTTTTTACCTTATTTACATACTCCATCTGTCCTTAGTAAGTCCGTACTGTTTTATGAGATACTCCTTCGTCATGATAATCCTCATAGAACAGTTGCAGTCTGTATTGTGAAATGAGCCCATATCTATGCGCTCTCTGTGGCTCAAACTTGTTTATACTTGTGTGAGGCTCTTTGATGTATGTGATGTAACTGCGCCGAGGATTGTGGGTCAGAATTGCCGCAAACGCATTCTGGCTTGCATGCTGCTAAATCTGACTAGATGTAGAAGGACCTCCTGGTGTTACTGACGTACTGCATTTGGCGTACTATGTATTGAGACACACTAAACTTATTTGAGGCATACTATGTAGTATAGATATGGAAACACACCCTTAACGTCATCTAAGAAGAGCTGTCGATCTGTCCAAAACGTAAAGCTGCAAAAGTATGTTCAGCTACGAGGTTATGTTAACATATTCCCTTAAAAAGTCATTAGTTACATAACAACGCCAGTAACATTTTAAATAATTTATTATTGATTCATTTATGTGACTTTTGTTTTAAATTAATTGTTTAGAAAAATTCCATCTCTAATTCTTCAAAGTGACGTCTTTATTTCAGATTAATTTCCAACCATCGACTCAAACCAAAAATGTCTTATTTACATTAAACATAAAACAGCACATTGTATTACCTTGTGCATATTTACCCTTTTTGCACGATTGTTTGATTATTTGATTAACTGGGTACTTGTTGTAGCTTGTTGCTGTTTGAGCTCCTGTGTCCTGTGTCTGGTTCTGACCTCTTTGACTCCTTTGTCTCTCCCAGATGAGACGATTGTTCCTCCGGACGTACCCAGCTACCTCTCCTCCCAGGGCACTCTGTCAGAGCGGCAGGACGTGTGCATCCGCGTGGAGGCCGGCGGTGGACCTCAGCCCAACGGACACGTCGGAGACACCACAGGTACCTGACAGTTCCCTCTCTGCCCTGATCTTCCAAATGTTTGTGCTGCCCAGCAGTTTCTCCCACTTCCCTCGGTGGGTTGCATAACGATGAAAGGAGCACTGCTGTCTTTGGAGACCTGCTCAGTATCAGAAATAATTACAGCAGACACGCTAACCACAGTGTTGACATACAGTTGTTGACTTTCTGCCTCTAAATCATTTATTTTTCTCTCACCCTGCCTGCCTGCCTGCCTGCAGGTTTCGATGGTGCAGTCGTGTGCACAGATTGTATGGAGAACGGCAACAGCTACTCCAAAGATCCAGACTACCTGACCCACGGGTTTGGTCCCGCTGGAGGCATGGAGTACCAGCAGCATTTTGTTCCCCCGCCCTACTCGCACTGTCACCCGGGGGAGCAGCATGACGCAGGATCACACATCACCCCGCTTTGCAACGGGACCCCCAACGGGATCCGAAAGGACATTCAAGGAACCACGTTTCCGAAAAATCACAACACGATACAGCTGAACCAACATGATAGAAAAGGTAAGGTGATTAGTGAGTTTAAATGTGCTTTTAATGCTTACAAGAAAGTTTATAGCCCTCAGGACTAGAACACATGCCAACAGCCTTTCTCTATAACTCCAGTACACGTCTTAAAGCCCTGCACTGTCCCACATGAATATCGCTTCTAATAGGTGATACCATGAGAAACCAACAGTCATTTAGCAGCCCATGTCAAGGCAAATTCCTTTGCACGTGATTGCTGATAGATTGTCTCCTACCAGCATCTGACAGTGTATCATAGTTGCATGCCCAGAGCCCCTCAGGATATCTCTCTAAAAACACTGAAAAGCAGCAGAGTTCTCTCTGCTGCCAAACTCCTCCAAAAGCACGTCCAGGCCTGTTCTGAGATTCAGCTTCAGTGAGGAGTTATACCAGAGGAATTGGCCTCTGAATGCCAATTCTCACCTCCACATGTCAACGCAGCTCGAAACACACATTCCACTGCCTCTATATCCCTGAGCTGAACGCATATTTGTCCACATACACGTGACGCCCTTCACTTTTCCTGTCTTACATTCCGCCACCTTCTTGTCTTTTGTCCGTCAGCGAGCAGAGCGGGACAGACGTCGGCGAGCTCTCCATCACAAGAAGACTCCTTCCACAAGCCGGTGAAGCTGGCCGGCGTAACGAGCCACGGACGCCTCGACACTGACTGTGAGCCTGAGCTCAGGCAGACTCTGCTGTCCAATGGACACACCCTCAGAGCCTCTCAGAATGAGAGCGCCCCTCTAAGGAGAGCCAGCGACTAGCAGACACTCAATCCAGCCCAAAATGTGGACTTTTACTTTTGTTTGCACTGGGAAATAAACTGCTACCTCATATAGAGGCGAACGGTACTGAGCCTCCTGGATTTGGACTGACAGGGAACACCAGGAGGAGGGAAAAGGTAGGGGGCATCCGGCGTTTGAAGGTGGAGCTTGTGTGGGTGGCATCCCATCTGAGCGTATCAGCTGTACATAGTTTAAAATCTTCCTCTGGGAGGTGACCAATAAAAAGTTCTAGCTCCAAAAAATGTGACTTGCATTTGAAGCATGTAAATGTAGGGAATCTTGTACAGTGTATGTATGTGCAGGGGGAAAAAGAGAAATATACCAGGACATTTGTCTGTAAATAAGAGTTTTCCTATATTATATATTATATAACTTTTACAAAAGAGTGTTTGAATATATGTGCATGACAAAGAAAGGAGTGATGGTATTTTTATTTTTCTTAAAAAAAACAGCCTTTTTCAGCTTTTACCAACATCCAGCTGCGGTGCCTTATTGCATGATCAAAGAAAACTCAACTTTTAATAGCATATATCAACAGATGTTTTTGTGAGCGATACTGGTACACTTTTTATAGCAAACAAAACAAAACACTTGATTGCACTTAAATGTTTTTTTTTGTTTTTCCGAGAGAAACCGCTGCCAGCTATGGCCTTACAGAAACACAAGTCACATGCATTGTATGAAGGAAGAGCTTTGATGTAAATTATTTTGGTACGTCAGGTGGGACATTGGTCGACAGTCAGTTAAAGCACTTTTTCCACGCGCTTCATAAACAGGCCGATTGTGTACACGATCTGCTAATAGGAATGCAGGAACCTCCTCGGTGTGAGGAGACATTCCACATATTTTGACACAGTAAAGTCAACAGTACATACTGTACCATTAAGGCTCTTCCACCAGTTTCACAATACTACACGTTACTGCAAATCTGCTCTGATCTAGCTAGGATAAATGCTTCTCTTATTTAAGTTGGGCTCTTTATTTGTCCCAGAAAGCGACTTTGGCACAAGTCGGCAACCAAATGTGGTCAGACCGCTGCTAACAGCTGTTATTTGGAAGCTGTGGAAGCCAGTAATAAACTCTCAGTGTGACACCTGCCACATTCATAATCAAAGCTACAGTTGTGCGCTCCAGAGCGTTGACATTTAATTGACTGAATGCTTAATCATGCAATTCCTACGCTGTAGGAAAGACGGAGAATGACGTTTGTCATCGTGTTACTGCTGTAATTCACATCCACAGTTAGTCGTGCGTTCGGGAGCAAATGGCCAGTATTCCACCTGAGTTACACCGTCACTGCGGTTCAGTTTCATGTTTGAGGTAACTAAAGGTGCAGCTTCACACGGTGAACACTTGGGAAGCTTGTGAAATGTGCTCTAAACCAAACGTGGAGGATTAATGCAGTCGCACACTTTTCCCACGCTGTCGCAATCCCTGAATACACTGGGTCAGAAATCAGTCAAAGAAGTTACATTGTCTCGTGTATGAATGTTGTCCCCCCCTCCCAGTCTGAACTGTGCTCTGTAACCAGTGGCCTTATCAAGGTAAGCTGGAGGACACGCTCCTCTGGTTACACCTGATAGCACCTATCAGAGATGTTTATACCAGCAAGACCAATCAGAGATCCTGTTGGAAACCTCCCCCCCACCCCCAGTGTAGAAGAGACAACAGGGAGTGAGGCGAGTAATTTATTGAAAACAAACTGCCTGAAACCGTTGTACCAATGTCAAAGCTAAAACAGTGAAGTGTCTAACATGGCATTGAAGTGTCTAATAAAAATCACATTTTGCTATTATTACCAGTGCTGTGCCTGTTTTTTTGTCGCTAGTAAAAAAAAACACAAAGAAGGGATGATTTGTCACAACAATATCACAAACAGCTGAGTTAGCGTTTAGCATCGCTCTCATGTCACAGCGGTTATGGAGAAGCCATCAATTCCAATGGAGCATGCACAAAGACATGAAATCCAGAGACCTTGATCTTCAAAGTGGCGAAGGAAGCTTGTGCCTGGACCACAAACGCACACATAGTCGCACACACACACACACACACACAAAGCTAATCTTCCAACCAGGAATGTCTCCTGGCTCCTTAAAGCTCCAAAGACAGCAGGCATATTTTTTCCTTCTGCGGGCTGTTTAAAATATTTGCTATTGAGTCGGGGCTGAGCCGGAGGGTCAGAATGTGCATTCCAGATGGATGTTTGTCACCAAATGATTGACATGCCCCTCGCCGTGGCCTCCACCAATCACACGCGGCCATTGTTGTTCAACAGCCTAGTGACAAGCGGCTTGACAAACCGTCCCACCTGTGAGGCCATCCATCTCCCTCTGCCCCCGCCAGGATTTACCAAGTCTCAGCTTCTACCTCTGCACCGACTGCTGAAGGACGACCGAGCGAAGTCGCTGAAAACAAGAAGGGGGAAGCACGCTGACACCGTGCCTAACTGTTCTTCCATATGCCAGTTAGATAATCCTTCAATAAGATGTAGAGGAGTCATTTGTTAAACCTTGTAACAAGTCTTGGGTACCTGCGCAGACCACATCTTAAACACATCCACCGTGAAATGAAACCCTGAGCGGCTCATGGCCGGGTTACAGACCGGTCTGCGGTCGAGGAGTAGAGGATCGCAGCTAGAGACGAAAAACAGAAATAAATGTGTCGAGATCTGCTGATCTAGTTTTAGAATCAAAGCTATGTGTGTGGCTGAACACTGGTAGAAAAATATGCTTCTTTGTGAATTTCAAGTCAGCTGACTGAAAGCTCTGATGCCCAAAACCTGCTGGCAGGTTTGAAAGGAAAGTTGTTTTTTTCAGAATTGTCAAATTTACACCATTAATAAACCAGAAACGTCATATTTTAAACTTTCCGACTTCTTCTTGGACAAATCATGTGGTTCTCTCAGGAAAATTCACCAAACCTAAGCTTGAAATTGTGATTTTCCACTTGTCTAATTTTTAGAAAAATTGCCAAAAAATGAACCATCCACACTAACTAATGCTGTTAAAAAAATTCTACGCTACTCACCGCAACTGAGAAGACATTACTGACTCAGCTGCGACCAACAGTTACAGGATGAAAATTCTGGGATTTTTCAGCTGAACTGCAGTCTTGGGTTTACAC